AACAAAAGAATTTGGATAAATGATACATTGAAATTCATTATATCTATCTTATTTGGATCCTTGAACAAATCAATGTGATCAAGAAGTTAAAAAAGATAATTTATTTGTAAAATATTGCAAATCAGCAGTCATATGCATATACTAACCTTCCAAGGGTTACTGAATTTTATATTTCAGTTGCAAATGCTCCAACTCGACTTGATGTCCCAATAGGACAAATTGTTAAAGCAAATGAGTTTAAACCACATTTAAAACGTGGTATACCAATTAATTCAAAGGATTAAAATCCCTGAAAAAGAAAAGAAACGGATGATGATGATCATACCATGGAGGAAATTGCTCAAGAAAAACTCCGAGAGATAACAAATGATAGGACCACAAAGAAGGTTCAAATAACTAAAAATAATGAGAATGAATATATCTCAATAAGTTATGTCTCGGTGAGGAAAAGCTTAAAATAGAAATAATATTGTGGTGGACAATATTTTTGCTTATAATTTTGTTATTAAATAATGCAACAAGGTGATAATTTTGAACAAAAATCTGTCAATTAATGCAGACAGCGAAATGATTGGCCAAATTAGAAGGATGTAATTCAAGCAGAATTTGACTTCACTTGAAAATCAAGAAGTTTTTGGACCAATAGTCCGAACGCCTGAAAGTGTCAAGCCAGTTGGGTACAAATGAGTTTTTCTGTGAAAACAAAATGAAAAAGGTGAAGTCGTCAGATATAAAGTATGACTTGTTGCACAAGGTTTTTCGCAAAGGCCTAACATTTATTATGTGGAGACATATTCTCCTGTGGTGGAAGCAATTACCTTCAAGTATTTAATAAATCTGGTAGTTCATGAAAAGTTTGAAATGCGTTTAATGGATGTTGTCACAACTTATTTATATGACTCACTGGACTACGATATTTACATGAAAGTCCCTGAAGCATTCAAAGTGCATGAAGCATATAAGAATACGCAAAAAAAATTGTTCAAAAGGCTTCAGAAATCTTTATATGGATTAAAAAAATCAGGGCGGATATGGTACAATCGTCTTAACCAACTTTTGCTAAAGAAAGGGTACAAAAATGACCCTGTTCGTCCTTGTGTTTCTATAAAGAGGTATGGATCTAATTTTGTTATAATAGATGTGTATGTTGATGATTTAAATATCATTGGCACTCCTGAGGAGCTTTCAAAATGTTGAGTATTTAACAAAAGAATTTGAAATATAAGATCTTGGTAAGACAAAATTTTGTCTTGACCTACAAATTGAGTATTTGAATAATGAAATATTTGTCCATCAATCAACATACACAGAAAAGTTTTAAAAGCGATTTTATATGGATAATCACATCCATTGAGTACCTCGATAGTTGTGATATTGTTTGACATACATAAACATCCATTTCGACCTCAAGAAAAAGATGAAGAACTTCTTGGCGATGAAAATTCATATCTTAGTGCCATTGGGGTGCTAATGTATCTTGCCAATAATACCCAACCTGGTATCTGTTTAGCAGTAAATTTATTGGTAAGATTCAGCTTGTCCCAAACAAAAAACATTGGAATGAAGTCAAACATATATTCAGATATCTTCAAGGAACCATTGATATGAGACTATTTTATTCTAATAAATCCAAGTCAGAAATGATTGGTTATGCAAATATTGGATTTGTCTAATCCACATAAAGTTTGATCTTAGACAGGCTATTTATTTAAATATGGAGGCACAACTATATATTGGCGTTCAATGAAGCAAACATTATATGCTACTTCTTCAAATCATACATAAATAATAGTCATCCATGAAGCAAATCGAGAATGTGTTTGATTGAGATCAATGACTCAACATATTCAAGAAATGTGTAGTTTTGTTTTGAAAAGGGATATTCCAACTACATTGTACAAAGACAATGTTGCATGTATAGCTCAGCTGAAGGGAGAATATATTAAAGGAGACTAAAAAAAACATATTTCACCTAAATTCTTTTTCACTCATAATATTAAGAAGAAAAGTGAAATAAATGTTCAGCAAATTCGCTCAGTTGATAATTTAGCGGATCTGTTTACTAAAGAATTATCAACCTCAACATTTGAAAAATTAATATCCAAGATTGGAATGTGTCTTCTCCAAGAAATTAAATGATGTTAACAACGGGGGGAGTAAACTATGCGCTGCGCTCTTTTTCCCTTGGCCTAGGTTTTATCCCAAGTTTCCTGGCAAGATTTTTAACGAGGCAGCAAATAAAGCGTATTACAAGATATGTGTACTATTTTGTCCTTCACTAAAAATTTTTCCTACATGATTTTTTCTTAGTAAGTTTTTAACGAGGCATTTATCTATCAATGGTCATCCAAGGGAGAGTGTTGTAAATCATTTTGGTGTTTAATTGGATGACCATAACTCCTTGATTAATTCCCTTCTTTATGATTAGTAATGTTGTTGATAATGTGGTCAAACAGATGACTATAAGTCCTAGGTTTATTTCCTCATTGATTGGTATAATTCTCAAGATTTAATGTAATGTTTATGACACTCTTTTGTATTTCAATGTAATCCAATAAATATTGGTGTTGAGAATAATGTTTAATGCACTTGAAAGAAAGAAAGATAGCTTATATTGTTTCTCTAATGTCTTATATTCTTCTTCTCTTCTTCTTTTGTTCTTAAGTTTTACAACAAGTTCAGACAATTATCTCATTTCAACAAAAAGAAATTATAGTGATCAGGAACTTCATTTTTATTATGCTTGCAAAAATGTTTAAAAATAAAATATATTAATTCTATGGTATCATTTTTTGGTATGTAACAATCTGGTTTCGTCACTATTCTTCTTTTTTTTAATCAATCACAATTTTTATGTAGTCGCCAATTTTAATTTTTTTAGTTCATTTTTGTATTTTCACATTCATTTATTTGTCTTTACGAATAAAATCAATGCATAATTATTAATGCATTTAGGGGTCATTTCGTAGAGTATATAAAAATAATGTTAATTAGAGTGTATTAGTAATGTTTATATTAGCAATGCATGTATTATATATGTTTGCATTAATTCTAATTTCATCATTGTTTGATTTGATGCATTAAAAATAGAATGCATTGCATTAAAACAATTATTTACAAAGATACCATTCACTTCTATGGTGGAAAAGATATATAAAAAAAATGTATAGAAGGACAATTTGGTCTTTAATTGATTCAATGCATACATTAAAAGTATTGCATTGCTAATACCTAGAAATTCATGGTACACACCTTAATTAATACACAATAGAGTGTATAACTAATGCATACATGGGTTGGAAAAGAGTATCCAAGCAAGATACACAATACTAATGCATGTATTTTTTTCTTAATACACTCTACCAAACGATCAAGTGTCTAACAAATTCATAACTTATGTCTTTTCATCTTACTTCTAACTTCTATTAATCTTATAACTTCTATACGTTTCATTTTCATAATATTTGTACTTATTTAATTGATGTAATAATAACTTCAATTTTATTTACTTTATGAAATCATAATTTGTTTAGAGAATTAGTACTTGTATATTAAAAGATGAAGGACATGAAACAGAATTAACGTCATATAATATATTGTTAGGTCAATATATGATCTTTTGTTCAATTTACTTTTCCACGAAAAATGTTTTATCTACTATATACATATGAATAGAAAATGTATTTTATAAAAAACATTTCATATGTTTGATAGAAGATGTCGCAAAATGAAGAGAAATATGATATAAGTATTTCCCTAATTAGTGGACTAAAATATTACTAGAATGGAAGAAGAGGGGTACCTTGCGATAGAGGTTCTCTAAAACCAACCAAACTTGTGTAGCAGCAGTATCTAACTGATGAACCGCTTTATCCTGTTTATCACTAAGAGAACCAAAGATCCATCCTTTAATAAACTCATCAGTCCTTCTCTTTTGCAAGTAATCTTCTTCTGCTGCTTCAAGCTCATCAAAAGCAATGGTCAGTTGAGGAAATTTGATTGTTCCATCAACCAATCCAAGTAAATCATGACTCCGAAGGAGACAAGCTAATGGAATGTAGTTGGATCTACCAGATAGCTTGATGGATATATGAATGATGCTACATTATATTAATCAACGATAAGTGGTGGATCGTTCCTGCATTTGATCTTGGGGACACCATTGTTACGTACAGTCAGCCAAGGGTGGGAACTTAATAAAGAAAACTATCCAACTTCACTTGGCATGATAGGCCTACTTTGGGAATTGAAAACACCAATTATTGACCGTCTTTTTTAAAAAACGTAACTTGAGTGAAATATAACTAGGAGTTTTCTTTTAACACTTGCTTCATATAAAATTTGACATTGCTATCACTACTGGAAAGAGACCCCACTTGGGACATTTGGGTGAGCCATAAATTACTTTACTAGATTACTATAACGATACTTTCATTAGGCTAACAAGCAAGGCATCACTTCATCAACATCCCTGCTTGGATGCCCACGGTAATTTAGTACTCCCTCCGTCCCATTTTATGTAGCACAATTTTCTTTGTGATCAGTCCAAAAAGAATATCACATTTCTTTGTGTGGTAAGAATATAAGGATATAATTTTTTTACTTTGTTGGTCTCATTTAATTTTAAAAATAATACTCAAATACATTTATGATGAGAGAGGAAAGCGTGTCTACTTTTAAAAGACAATTTGGTAAATATTTCAGAGTCTTCATTTATTTTCTTAAACTCTGTGTCAGGTCAAACATTGCCACGAAAAAATTAATTTTAATGTGTTCTTTAAAATTTTATACTTTATTGCTTTATGAATATAAAAAAGAAGAGTTTAACTTATCTGCACGGACGGTGTAAAAAATTTTTACACCATCATGTAAGTTTAACTGCAATAGTCAGACGCCGATTAACTTTTTCTTTTTTATTTTATTTATATTTTATATTTTAAATTACGCATTTATTAATTTTTTCTTCTCTGTGCGCTTCATAACCTTAGGACTTGGGATTCTTCTATCCGAGCTCCTCTCTTCCCAAGCTGCTAAGCTCCTCATTTAGGGTTTGATGATATCTTTTATTCATGTGAAAATATCCGGAAAAGGTAATTTACCTTGCTTGATCATTTAAACAGTAATGATTTCAGTCTTATTATTGAGGAATATACTGAAGAATTGAACGTTTATTGCAAATATATGAAATCACAGTAATTATCGGTGGACGTGCATATAGTCCAAATTCATGTTCTTCTGGTCAAATGGTTGAACATCTCTAGTGGGAGCCCCTCAGGTATCTCTTCTGTGACATATTGCTTACAACAAACTCAATATATGCTACAACTTTTAGCGGGGAACCTGCAAGTTTCTTTCAAATTTCTTAACTTTATTGGATAATATTGCAACAATTTTGCAGCCTCTATAAATCAGAAGGAATTATTATTTTATCAACGAACACATGTAGACATATTTTACAAGTATCTAAGGAGATAAAATTATATTTTCTCATTTGCTTTAGTATAGTGTAGAGAGAATGACAGAACTCTCTATCTCTAACAATAATTATTCATTATTGATTTGACACACATTTTAAGAAATAATAAATAGTAGAGGTAATATTACTATATTATCCTTTGACTTTAATAAATTTAATGTTTTGAAAATGTGTTACTCCCTCTGTTTGAAAAAAATGTCATCTTTTTTTTAGTCTGTTTCAAAAAGAATAATCTTTTTTTTACAAAAAACTTTCCACGTGACATGTTTAAGGCCACAAAATTAAAAGGCAATTTTGTATATATTTGACATAACTTTAATTTATGACCACATGATCAAAATTCTTTTTTATTTTGTTAAACTCCGTATCAAATCAAACTAGATCATTCTTTGTGAAACGGATGAAATAGATGATAAGTAGTATTTGATTGCAAGGGTAAAATAGACATAAAATATAAGTTACCTCTAGATTTTTTATATTAACAAGTATTGTTGAGAAAATATTGTTAGATGAAGGGAGTATGTTATAAGTAAGATAAATGGTTACAATTAAAATTGACCATAACTTGTAATGCAGTCTACACATCTTTTTGTACAACAATCCATTGTTATGATCATATTCAAAAGTCATATCTCTAACAATAATTGTCCATTATTGACTTAACACATCTTTTAAGAAACAATAAATAATAGAGGTAATATTACTATATTATCATTTGACTTTATTAATTCAATATTTGAAAATGTATTAAATGATAAATAGTAATATTTAATTGCAAGAGTAAAATAGACACAAAAGATAAGCTACCTCTAAATTTTTTAAGTTGGATGACTATTATTGAACAACTATGGTTAGATGGAGAAAATATGTTATAAGTATGATAAACGTTACAATTAAAATTGACCATAACTCGTAGTACAATCTACACAACTTTTTGTACAACAATCCATTGCTATGTTGGTACTCAAAAGTATCCATTGCTATGTTGATACTCAAAAGTCTCATTTCTATATAGGATTAAATTAAAGTAAATAAAAGTAATAGTAATATATATAAAATAATTTGGAATAAGTTTTAAAATTTTAAAAGCAGTGAACAATTAAAGTTTTGCACAAAAATCACTTCTTTGTTTGTTGATTTGGGGATTTTGAATGTTTGTCAAAAATATTTTCAAAACTTAAACAAATTTTGTCAATTTTTTACTTAAAAAATGTTTGCACGAGTCTATTTTTGATTGACTTTTGATTTATTTTTATTATTTTAGATTGGAATTCAAAAATTTACTCAAATACTTAAAAATACTTAGACTTTAAGTATTTAATAGGAATATAATGCAGAAATATCTTCTAGCCTATGACCGAAATCTCAAAGACAAACTATAACTGAATTAAGATCCTATTACTCTCTGAATTTTTTTTTTGTAATTTTGTACATCTTTGGTCTTACGTGGCACACTCTTAACTCCACGCAATTGAGGCGCGTAAAGATATTTGGATTCCACGTAAGTCAAAAAGATGCATAAAATTACAAAAATAAATGGGTTAGGGGTACTAGGACCTTAGTTTAGTTAAGATGTGTTTGTGAAATTTCAATTATACTCTAGGAAGATACTTATACATTTTTCCTATTTAAAATAATTCAATTTGAACCGACTTTAAATCTACTCAATCATTTGTTCATAGCGTTTACATGTTGTTTGAAATATTTATACTCATTATATTGTATTGTATCCTTACTCCTTACATAATCTAATCAATCAGTTATTCGTATTGATTGTTTGAACTGTATTGTGTCATTACTAGGAAATATAAAGTTGAGAAAGTTACCATTTAATTCTTGTTTTAATCCCTTGGTTATTGGCGAAGTTAATTCTCAATTAAATAAGGGAAAATTGTATGTAATAGCAAACTAATAACCTAAAATAAATGGAATAGCTAGGGTTTGATTTAATTGTACTCCATAGAAAACGTTAGCTAAAATTTGTCATGCGTCTCTCTCTAAAAAATCTCGCTCGCCACTCTCCGTTCTCGCTCGCCTCTCTCGCTTTATACATAGAAGTGTATAAATTATGTTTTCATTTTGTATAAATCGAGGGAAAATTGTATATACACAGGCAAAAATATATATCTTCATGTTATACACTTAGTTATACAATTTACATACATTTTACTTCAAATATTGTAGAGAAAAAGGTTAACGAATTATACAATTGTGAATTATACAATTGCAGTGAAATACAATTTTCTCTAGCTTTATACAACAGAAGTGTATATATTGTGTTTCTGTTTTTGTATAAAGCGAGAGGAAAACATATATCTTCTTGCTATACAGTTATAATTATGAAATATACATACATTTTTATTCGATTCAACTATATGCAAAGCAAATTTTATAAAAATATTGCAGGAGAAATAGGCAGCAAATTATACAATTGTGCATTATACAATCGCAGTGAAATAGGATAGCGAATTATACAATTGCAGCGAAATAGGCCAGCGAATTATATAATTTAGGCCAGCGAATTATACAATTGTATATGTATAGCGAATTATACAGTTTTATGTTTGCTATGGAGCGCAATTATGCAAACTTTGTTACAGCATACAAATATAAACTTTTTGTTTGCTATAAAGGAAAATTGCCCATTAAATAAAACTATGTTATTCTTATTCGTAAACCAAACTAGCAAAATTGATTAGGGTAAGTTAACAGATTGCTCATTTTAAAAATAAAAAATTTAAAAAGATATTTTTGAGGAGATGAAGAGTACTTCAAGGAGCTAAAAGATTCAGTTAGACAAGACTGTTATCGACCTCAAAAAGATTAAGGTCAGGTGTAGAAAAGATTGAACATGACTTTTATATGTAAGTACAATAATAAATTTAATTATTAGGGATGAATAATTGTCATTAATAAATCATATTTTGTCATTAAAAATTTTGTGTGACGAAAATAAGTCATTAAATGTGTCTCTAAAAGTATACAAAGATGATTTAGTGCTTCGTCGCTAAAAATATTATATAAACTACAAAAGAAAAATCATTCCAAAATACATAAACATTTGTGATAAATTTATTTGTTGTAAAAAGTATTTTTTTTTGTAATTAGTATGTTTTGTCACAAAAAGGTTATTATTATCGATAAAATTGTATCATCTCTAATTATTTTACTTCAATCAGTGACGAAATCAATTGTCTCTAAAGTTATATGTATTTCGTAGTTGAACAAAATCTGATTTCGTCACTAATGACTACATTATATATACAAAAAATTACTTTGTTCTTAAATGTATATATGATAAAATTTATCATTATAAAAATGGTTAATATCTTATTATTATCTACTATCTTAATTGTTTTCAACCTTGACCAACAGCCCACAAATTATGTTGCCTTGGGGAATTGAACTCACAACCTTAAGATTAAAAGCGAAGGGTGCTTATCATCAAACCAACCCACTCTTGTTGTTCATTTTTGTTTTATTTTATACTTTATTCACTTCTTTCAAATTTAACTTTTGTAGAAATAATATATTATATAATTATTTATACTCATACACAAATGCATGAAATTTACCACCAACAAGTCATTCAAATGTAGATTATATTTTAATTAAACTATGTATTCTTTAAATATATTCAGTACGATTTTATCATTTTATTTATTTATTTTTGTATTTTTTTAAATTTATTCAGTACAATAATAAATTTATTTAAAAATAACTTTTGATTTTATTAAAAAAATTAATAATCGATTCAAGTTGAACATCGATACCAATAACTATAGTTCTTCATCATAATATATTTGAAATCCTCGTTAGTTCGTTTCTTTTATTTGAGCTTTAGCTTTTTAGTTTATTTCAATTTTCACACTGATTAGAAAAGTTAATAAAAATTCATGAATTTTATTGCACCTTTGCAACGTCTAAGTTTGTAAGTCGATGTTATCTCTATATAGTTACTCTACGTACATATGTGGAATTACTATTAACTTTTTTCATCAGTGTGATAATTGAAATAAACTAAAAAGTAAAAGCTCAAATTAAAAAAATGAACTAATGAGGATTTCAAATATATTAGGATGAAGTACTATAGTTATTGGTATAGATGTTCGACTTAATCTATGTAGTTTACCAATCACAAATCAATAGACATGCACAAAACTTAGCACACCGACTTGACAAATTATTTTTTTATCGTGCTTATCGATGAAAGTGTATCAAATAAAAAATAAAAGTGTTAAGCAAATAAACATTAATGATCTAGTGGTAGAACCGTGTCCACTCACAATACTTATAACCCAGATTGTATTTTTAAAATGGTGAATTTTATAATTGCGTAATTTAACAAAATTAATGAATTGAACTTTTTCGTTTATACAAAATCCATCGAATTCATTGGTTTTAATATTTTAACTTGACGAATGGACTCTGTCTACTTCCTATGAAGCACTTGTATTATTCTTTTTGTAAGTCATCACTTGTAATTATGAACAATTGTAGAAAAAATTTGTATTTAACTATGAATTTTTCCGTAGAAAATAGTTTAATTATTCACTACAAATTTTAAGTCGTCGCTATTTAACACCTTACATATTTTGTGACAATTTTTTTGTTGTCACTAAATCAAAGATTGATTGAAGATAATAAAATATTTGTCAGAATAATTTATATTATTAGTGACAAAATAAATGTCATAATTAATTAAAAATTTTCAAAGCTAAAATTTATAATATTTAACTGCAAACTCTAATTTGTCGATATTGTAACAACATATTTTTTTGGGAAAATAACCAAGTACCCCCTCAACCTATGTCCGAAATCGCAGAGACACACTTATACTATACTAAGGTCCTATTACCTCCCTGAACTTATTTTATATGTAATTTTCTACCCCTTTTTAGCCTACGTGACACTAGTTCGGAAAAAAAAAGTCAA